CGGGAAGAATCAGAATGTGGTTTCAGAATAACTGCACATAAATTGGATCAAACAAAATGTCTCTTGAAATATTAATTAACAAAATATTTAAATTCACCTCATCCTTTTAAAGTATATATTTATAGTAACATAATAATCTTAGTTTTTCTTTGTTAAATAATAATGAAATAAATACATTTTTATATTTTAATTTAGTGCAATTTTTTGGTCAATTTGTGTGCAATTGTGCTTTTACTATATTTATTGAATAACAGATTTCATTCAACAAAGTTCACTTAATTAGAATTTTTTTAGTTTATTTGTTTATTATACCTAAAATTTTAAATTTTATTTGCAGAATCCCTTACTGATTATCCTGTCATTTCGAATGTAGCCCATGTTGATGTAACAAGAATAGACCGAAGATTGAGAATCACCACAGTCTCTGTTTTTTCATTGTCTTCAAATTCTTTTCTAGGTGTAATCAAATTGAGTATTTTTAAGTTTAATAATATAAGCTCTTTTTTTTTCAGCATATCAGACATCAAAGATACTATCTTGTGGTACACCAAGGAAAGTTCAATTCAGAGAAAAAAATTAAAAGTCTTAAAAGAAAACTAAACACTTCCCATGTGTCATCAAATCAAGCCAACTTCTTGAAAACACAATTAAATTTGGTAAAGATCCCAAAAGGTTCAAGATATTCAAATGAATTTAAGCAGTTTGCACATACTGTACACTTATTGGGGCTAAAAGTTTACAAGTTTCTCTCAAAGATGTTTCGATTGCCATCGAGAAGTACTTTACAAATGATAACTGCAAAATGGGATATAATACCAGGTTTCAGTAACTTTTTATTTGATGCACTCAAAATAAAAGTTGAAGTATTGAGTGACTGTATTAGAGATTGCATTTATGTCTAGATGAAATGTCTTTAAAGTTACACTTATATTAGAATTTATCACAGGATGAAATAATAGGATTCCATCAAAGTCCTTCAGAAAAATGTTTTCAACCAGCCCAAAACGTTTTAGTATCAATTCAAACTGGAAACAACGGTTTTTGTTAATTCGAGTTGTCCAGTTGAGGAAATATTATTTTTATGGCTATAAAGAAAATGAAGACTATAGGACTGAATGTTCTTTCTGTAGTATCTGATCATGGAAGTAATTTGTTCAAGTTAATAAAAGGACTGGGTGTGTCACTTGAGAAACCTTTCTTCATGTGTGAACATATGAAAGTTTTTTTACTAATATCAACACGGAATATTTTTTTTTAAATACAATTTCATATTTGGAGGTGGCATAACTGATAAAACATATTTAGAACATTTTTATGCATCTGACAAACAAGAAAAATTTCATTTGGCTCCAAAATTGATAAATATACAGCTAAAGTTTTAAGTGCTACAGTATCGGTAGCAATGAATGCATATATTCCTTTCAAAAACGGCCTCAAACAAAGTTGAATTTATAGAAAAAATGGACTTATTTAACTCATCTGAATTTAATAATGCAAAAAACCTCTGCAGACCTTTCAAGGGAACAGAATCACAAATAAAATTTCTGAAATATATTATAGAGTTCTTTAAATCAATGACTTATGAGTGGAAACAACAATATAACAAAAAGAATGAAATTTATTTTTGGCTGGAAATTGACCATTTCCGCTTTTTTTTGGGAATGTGGGAAAATTTAAAAGAAAAAAAATTACAAAATTTACACTAGGGATTGAAAACTTTTATAGGTAAAATTCGACAACAAAGTGGGAATTGTAGGAATACGACACCAATTCAATTTACTTTGATAAGGGCAAGGGATGCCAGCAGGGAGGAGTTGTTATCTCCTCTTATGTGGACCTTGGTGGTTGATGACCTCTTATGGGAGTTAGAGACAGAAAATTTATACACGCAAGCATTTGCAGACGACATAAGCATCGTAGTAAACAGTAAATTTGGGTCTGTTGTATCCGACAGGATTCAGCGGGCACTAAATATCGTCGAAAGATGGTGCCTAAAAGAGGTATTGTCCACAAACCCGACAAAAACCTGTTGTTGCATTCACAAGAAACAGGAATCTTCAAGGAATGAAGGAGCTTTATATGTGGGGACAACCTTTAAAAATGGAAAAAGAGGTTAAATATCTTGGAATCACTCTTGATGACAAGCTTAGCTTCTGCAGCCATATAGAAAAACAACAGAAAAAGCTGTAAGAATACTATGGGCCTATAGACGGAAGGTAGGGAACGTATAGGGGCTTAAGCCAAATATGATGCACTGGCTTTACACTATGGTTGTAGTACCTGTTATAACTTACTCATCAGTCATATGGTGACACAAGACTTAAAGCATAACAGCTAACAGAAAATTAGACAAGGTGTAATAATAACAGGGGCATTTAGAAATACGCCCACTGCTAGGTCTTCCTCCACTACACCTTGTGGTGGAGAAGGACGCTATGGCGGCGGCATACAGGCTGTTTACTAATGGATTTAGATATTAGAAAAATTAAAACAAAATCCGGTACTAAGAATGCCATCGGATAGAACGCCCATTATTCACGACTTCAGGAAACCTTTCGATATTCAAATAACAGAAAGGGCCAAAAACCGGGAAAATAGGGAAAAACAAAACGAATCAATCTGGTATACAGACGGTTCGAAAATGAAAAACAGCACAGGAGCTGGGATCTACCATGTGAACTCAGGGAGGACAATTAGTTTGAACCTGGGGTCAGTGACAACAGTCTTCCAGGCTGAAGTAACAGCAATAAATGCCTGAGCCAAAGTCATGCTAAATTACTCTCTTAGAGATAAGAGGATCTTTATCATGACAGACAGTCAGGCAGCCCTTAAAGCACTGAAAAGGGTAGACGTACAACCTTAATCAATATTTGATTACCAACAGTCCCTCCAGGCCCTGGCAGAACATAACAAGGTCACCCTCATAGAGGGGCCATCCACGAGCAGACAACATCAACTGCTAAACCTTAGCAGAAGCGAACTCATGGCCGTAATAGGACTCCTTACGGGACATTGCGGCCTTAGAAGACACCTAAATCTCTTAGGGATATCTGATGACTCCCTATGTGGAATATGCGAAGAGGAGGACGAAACTCCTATTCACATAGTAAGCCACTGTCGGAACCGTAAATGGGAACGGGAATGGTACTTCGGGGTACAATATCCGGAACCTGAAGAAATCGCGAAAGCGCCCATCAGACATATTCTTGAATTCATCAAGAAAATCAATCTGATGGGATAGAAACTGTGAGGGGTACAATAAGCCTAGAGCTTCAGTACAAGTGGGCTTTGAACCACGCCCTAATTTGATAGGATTTTAGCAACTATAACTCCAGAAGTCATTTAAAGCTGTCAAATATTAGTATCCCAACAGTCATATGAAAAATCGTAATACAGAGAAAAATGGTTTTGTTTAGGTAGGATATTTTATGAAAAAAGTTTAAGATAGACATAAGTGTATTTCATGTTTAAGATATGCTAAAGAACATACTGAACTGGATGAGTTTACAATCTAGTGTTTTCAGGGCATATCCAACTTCAAAAAACGATACGTTTGGCAATTTAAAAATGCCAAATATGAGTTTTTTAGAATACATTATTGCCGTTGTGAAGGGTTTATGTGAACATTTTCCAAGTTTTGCAATAAAAAAAAAATTGGAAAAAGTCTTGGGGAATATCTTTCAAAAATAAATTTTGTTAGACCTTGTCCGGATTTCCCAATTGATTATGTTGTATCATTATTTGTTAGAGTAAGGATTTACTATATTCTTAAATTTTTAAATCAAGATATTAAATCTACAAACAAAAAAAAAATAAACCTAATTTAAAACTAACAATTCTTAAATATATGTATATTAGTTTATTTTAAATTTAATTATTTCCACGTAAGATTTTTGTTTTATTTATTAAATGAGTAAGAATTCGTATTTTTATTTGTCCAAACATTTCCCAAAGTTAATTTCAATTTGACAGTTGCTTGCTTTCTGGGTCGATATTCACCCATCCACACAGCCAATTATTTCAGGAATCCTGAATCAGTCTCTGATTTTGTAATCAAGAAATTATTTTGTTTGATTGATTTCATTTTATAGATAATTTACAGTGAATTGTTCACGAAATTTTTAGGCCAAAAAATACCATACGAAATTTTTAGGCCAAAAAATACCATCCGAAATTTTTGATATTTTGGTGACTTTAGTCAGTCTCATCATTTTTGTAAATAATTGTTTTTAAGTTTTTGATTATATTATGTTATAGAAAAGTATATGAATATGTTTTCATAAAAAATTTCTTGTAGAGATATTAGATGAAAAATAAAAAATTATAAATTGGTGACGTGAATTATTCTGCTATTTTATTAGTTATTATTTCTGTTTAAACAATAAAAAGGTATTCTTTTGTAGAAGCTCTATGATTTAAAATGTCACAAATGTTTACTTTTTAGTGCATTAAAATATTAGTTCAAGGTCAAGAGGTTTGCTCTCAAAAACTAGTTTTGAATTTTAACCAAAAACTCGTCTAAAATTTGTATAAAAAACCTATAATTTTATTATTTTTTTTTTTTTTTTTTTTCAATTCCGAGGACACAATCATATTTGTTTAAGCAGGCAGAGTGAGCAAACTGATTCTTTAGCCATAAAACTGTGACCTAGTTGTCATCTGCAATTGTCACCGCTCTGCCATTTATATCACCTGTCACTTTCATAGATTTTTCGCATGACAATATATTTTTCAATCATTTTAGAAAATTTAAACTCAGTCAAAATGTGTTAAACTTTCAAATAATCAACAGGCAGCAGATAAATAATGGTAAATTGGCATTGAGCAAAATGTACAATAACTTTGATAAATGACAACTGTTAATTTTTTTTTTTGAAAATGATTTGTTTAAAAAAATATTCACTTTTTAAAACAAGCAGTTTTGAAATTTGTCAATAGTTATTAAAATTAATAAAAGTATTACCTAGCTAAAAGCAGTTGTAATATTAATTTGGAATAAATGTTTTCTATGAAACCTGGTTTAGAGTTTAGAGAGCGCAATTAAATATCAAGGTAACAATTAACAAAGTCGTTGGGAAATAAATTAGGGTTAACATTTAGATCCGACAATTTTACAAAAAAATACAAAATTACGAATACATAATAAGGTATAACATTTTCATTTCACTTCAATTGAAGTCTACCAGATCTATTTACCACAGCCAAGTTAGCAAGACATGTTTTATTTTTCTTTAAATGAATGATTTGGAATCTACGAGTAAACTAAAGAAGAAAAAAAAAAACATTTTCTATTTTTACAATGAACATCTAACTGCTGGCATGATTTCACGTTGATGAGTAGTTGTGTCTTAACTATTGAACCCAGAATTTGTTAACGAAAGGGGAAGAAAGCATATTGAAAACTTAATGAGCGATTGGCCGAATCTTGTACTGGAAATAGAGATTTGACAGAATACGTTGAAGAGATTCTGGAAAAATAGTGATAATCGTCATGGAGTATGTTGTATATTATGTTTTTCAGGTCATGGATTGGTCTGCATGCAACCCTGATACAATCCCCTTAGTCTAAGAGAATTGTATTTAAGTTAGAATATTTGTAGGAAGGGCTTAAAGTGTCGCAGTAAAATACCATTGTTATAAAATGTTTAGTGATTAGTATTAAATTTCCATTTGCTGGAAAAGCCATGCTAAATGAGTATTTTTGCTAGTTAAAATTTAATATCAGTTTTGAGAATTTAGATTATATATATTTTTTGTAAAATTGCGGTTTTAAGATCGACCTGTCAACATTTTCAGATCCGTAATCCCATAAATAATAAAAAAAAAAAACAGCAAAAAACGTCACATTTTTTTGGTGCTTCTCGGCAAGCACTCCAACCTAACACTTGCTCCTTATAGCTAGTTAAAATCAGTGACAATTGGATATATACTTAACGCTTGATCGCTACCCGAATTTAAAATACTCCCTATAAGAAGCTCCCCTAAAAGGGAGCGCAGCTTTAACTTACACCTAGCTAAAATTATAATTAAAAATAGAACGGTCTTCGAACGAAAAACGAACCCAAATGGATGCGTCGACGATCCAATTCGGGTTTGCGGCTCGATCAAAGACATGAAGTAACAAAAAACGGTACGTAACACATAAGAGTATTGGATAATGTTCGAAGGAACTGATACGTAACATATACATATAAAATTCAAATAAAACCAACTTAAGTCGCTGATTGGAGGTTTGAAAGCATCTGTTAACCCGGGCGGCGGTTGTGTCTCACCATTGGGTTACGGGGTATGGCCTTTCTTGTTCTTCTTTAACGAGATGTCATCCACGTCCTCGCCCTTCTTCACCTCGGTGAAGCGTTCGCCCTTGAGGCTGACGATTTTATTGTCGCGGTAGCGGACCATCTTCTTTGGTTCCACTTTTGGAGCCACCTAGGCAGGATTTTTTCATGAAAAGAGCATTTCTACTTGTTTATCGGTAACACTGTTTAATTTTAGATTTTAAACCAGGAACACTAAGTTCAAAATAAATCTATATGAAAAAAAAAAAATAATATTTATCATTTAAAGTTTATTAAAAAAGGCAATAAAAACTAAAAACGTGGTAAAAATTATAAAAGCATAAGTATGTTATTCGCTTTACAACAAATAATGGAAAAATATAATAGAGTTTATCATACAGACCTTTATAAAGAGGGATCCACAAAAATGTTTCTAAAGCAGGCAATAGCCGACAAAGAAAGAAATACGAATCATGTCCGTGATAACTAGGCACGCCTCTAAATTAAATCCAAACTGTTATTAAAAAAAAAAATAATTGTACGTTCCAACATTTTTTGTGGACCCCTCCATATTAAACTGGATGAGCAAATCCAAAAATATTGGACTGAAGAGATATGCATTGTTTTTATTAAATTTATCGAAAAAGAAAGCATCAACATAAGTTTTTTAAACATTACAACCATTTAAAATTTTTATTTAGCGATTATTACATTCATATTACATGGCGTTATGGGTGATATCGAACATTCTAATTTATAAGTTTGGCAATCTAGAACTATTTAATCCATTTTGTTGACAGCGCCAAGTGCCAGATTGAGCTATATTGTTTTTTTTTGTGATTTTTGATCATGATTTGAATATTGAACTATTATTTATTCATATTCCGTTTTTTTTTAAGTGAACCCGGAGTGGCTGTGAAACTCAAACTTCGCTCACTCTGTGTAGGAAATCTGACATTATTCTAAATGTAAGTAACGGATTTTTCATATTGGTCAACTATACATCCGTCGGATGTTAGAGGTGGAAGCGCCGTAATAATAAAAGAGAATATTAACCATTATGAATAGAACAAAATAGGAACAGAAGAAATCCCAGTAACAGCAGTTAACATAAAAATGAATAAATACAGTTTTCGCAGTCGGAGCACGACATAATTTAAAAAAAGATAGAGAACTCTGAGACAATTTTATCTTGGGTGGGGGGGGCTTTTAATTCCAAAAATATCATCTGGGGCTCGAGTTTAACAACCACCAAAGGTAGGGAATTGCATGCAGTTAACAGGAAAACCAACCTATTGGCCAACTGACAGAAATGACTTACTCTACTTCTCCATCACTAGAAAAATAGCCGGAAACTGTATTAAAATAAAAGAAAACTTTAATTTAGACGCAGGTCATTCCTCGGTGATAATGATACTAAGCGAAAATATAATCCAAAAAGATATTAATCTACATTGAGTAATAAAAAGACAGACTGGGTAAGTTTTAAAGCTGAATTAAATAAAAGAACTGAACTAAGAACTAGAGTATGAGCTGGAAAAATTTGTCGTTGACATACGTCAATCGTCATGGAACAATATACTAGAAATAACAAGGACAAAAGTAGGCAATTCATACCCTAGAGAAATAAAAGAACTAGCAAATAAGAAGAGAGCAAGAAAAAAATGGCAAATCTCCAGATTCCCCAAAGATAAAGTAGTTCTCAACACACTAACAAAACAACTTAAACAAGATATAATCACTATTAAAAATGAATCAATAGACACATATCTCAGAAAATTGATGATTGATAAAATAACTGATTACTCTCTGTGGAAAGCGCCTCGGAAACTTAAACGTCCAATAGTCCATATGCCACTAATATTAATAATACCCTCCCTAATTTATCCCCTTATGAGTGAATTTCAACCCCTGAAGCCGACTGAGCGACTTGTGTAGGAGAAGGGACGGATTTACTATTTGCTGTGGCGATCCGGGGCTCCTTAAAGATAATTGATGGCGCCATTTGACTTATTGGTGAGGAAAACCCGAAAACCCCCCACCCACCATCATCAAAACGGTAACGCACGGCGATTTTTATAATCTGGATGTCATATCAACAAAAATTAAATTTCTGCTAATACGACATCCATCAAATACTATAGAGAACCATGCAAATAATCACATGGTCTTCTGTAGGATTCGAAGCCCGGTGTCCCTCTACAACAAAATTGACTCGCTAAAAGAAGACAATGGAAACTGGGCAAATAAACAAAAAGCTGATATATTTGCAGATCAAAAAAAAAAAAATTCAACCGAATGAAGAACGAGGACAAGATTTATTAGAAAAAGAGAACACAAATAGAAATTCCTATGGTCACGTCTAAAAAGGTAGCTAAGGAAATCAAAGACAATCTCAATTGTAAGAAAGTACCTGGGTATGATCTGATTACAGGTAAAATATTAAAACAATTGCCAAGAAAAGCTGTGGTTAAACTCACTAATATAATAAATGCTGTATTTCTACCAGTGGATGTACCTAGCATCTGGAAAGTTGCTGAAATTATGATATACAAATCTGGAAAGCCACCAAATGAACTAAAGTCCCATAGACATATATCCTTGTTACCAGTGCTGTCTAAACTTTTTGAAAAACTTTTACTAAAAAGACTGAAACCCATGACAGTAAAAATATAATACCTGACCACCAATTTGGATTTAGGAACAAGTATTCCCCTATTGATCAAGTCCACATAATAACGAATGTAATTAAGAAAATACTGGAAGAAAAGATCTGCACCTCACTCTTTCTAGATGTAGAACAGGTTTTCGATAAAGTATGGTTAGAGGGCCTTGAATATAAAATAAATTAACTTTTACCAAAGCAATATTGTAACATCTGAAAATCCTACTTGACTGATAAAATCTTTCGATTAAAACAAGAGGAATATTCCACGCTTACAGACACTAAAGCAGGGATACCTCAAGGAAGTGTTCTGGGGCCAGTTCTTTACCTCCGACATACCACAAACGCAAATTGTGAAAGTAGCCACATTTGTCGACAAGACAGTCATACTTGCCATCGGTAGAACCATAGAAGAATCGACCAGAAAACTTTAACAGACAACTAATAAAATCTACGAGTAGACAAAAAGATGGCGCATTAAGCTCAACGAAACTAAAACTGTTCAGGTTGACTTTATTAATAAAAGATCAGTAGAACATCTACCAGTGATATCAAATAATACTAGAATACCATATTCTAATACAGCTAAAGTGGAAAGAAAATATAAAATAAAATGGGAAGAGTTGGGTATTAAATATACAAAATTGTACTGGTTGATAAATAGAAAATCAAAACTTTCAATCAAAAATAAACTTTTAAAAACGAGTCCTGAAGCCAGTATGGACTTACGGCATACAGCTCTGGGGGCGTGCCACTAAAACTAACATAAATATAACGTTTCCAGAACAAAATATTAAGGGAAATAGTAAACGCCCCTTGGTATATAAGGAACTCAAACTTTCACACCAAACCATTTGAATTAGTGTTGTGAAAGTGTGTTAAAACAGAGCACAGTGCGCATGTGCAGTGTATAGTTTATTTGATCAGAAAGGAGAAGATACCATTAGGTGAACTCTTAGTTTTAAGCCTCTTAAGTTTACTCAGGATTATAATAAAGACAAATTGCTGGTTGGCTGAAATATAACCAAGTGCAATGCAAACTAACAAAAACAAAAAAACGTTGGTCCACAGTTGACAATCATATATGAAATGTATAGGGGTAAAAAGATGAATGTCCCAAAAAGTAGTTTATAAGAAAAACAATTTTAAAAATTGTATATCTTACATCTAAATAGATTAAAAATTCAAATATTTTTTAAATTATATACAGGGTGTACCATTATTGTGAAAAAGTTCAATATCGTCCTTGTAAGATATTAAAAACATGTATTAACAAAATTTGTAGGGTGGCTTGAGGGCCACATTTTAAAATTACATAGAAGTATACAGGATGTTGCATGACTCAGGTACGAACCAAACTTGTTTTTTTTTTTTAACCAGAACACCAGTTTATTTTAGATTTCGATTCCTATCATTTTCTTCGGTTCTTCTAATATATGGTTTATCTAGGTTATATAGGGTACCCTAAGTTTTTTAATATCATGCATTACACTTTTCTTTAGTAACGTTCTTATTCTATGTTTATTAGTATACAGGATGACTCAAGACTCGGACCTTTGAATGTATCACGTGGCAACGTGGCTGAAACTATTGTTTATAACGCTACTCAAGCTACCCAAACAACAAAACCGTGAAACACACACAAAAAAAAAACAGCAATTTGACACTGGTTTGTGAAGGACAACTGCGTATAAAGCTAATACAGTTGCCAACTTGAGAAAAATTTCGCGAAGTTTCGAGGCTAAAGAAAATGACAAAATAATATGTCCGCTTTGCAACAAAACAACTACAAATAGTTACGCGATTCAGTGCACAAAATGTGCAAAATGCCTGCATACAAAATGCATAAATATGACAACGGCAACCCTTAACTCCCTACAAAAGGACTTGCAAAATTCCAAAGGTAAAAAATATACATGCTCAGATTGTACAGCGTGAGAAACCCTCTGAATGCTGTAGTCGCAATGAATATTCCTTGACAGATATAATGAATAAATTAATCAGTGTAGAAAACAAACAACGATGATTTTCTAAAGCTATTTACAATGCAAACGAAGGAAAATGAAGAACTGAGAAATGAAGTAAACAAGTCATAAACAAAAAAAGAATATTATGTATATAATAATATCCATAAGCTAGTACATATACATGAATTGGACTGAAAATTAAAATTCAAGCAGGTACACGAACCAAAGAACGAATTGCCAAGTCTTTGTTTTTCATCAATAAGGACGATTAGGGAAGGTAATTAAAATAAAGTTTAATTTTCTTTTTAAAGTTGTAAACAGTATAGTTTTTATATTCTAGGGGAATACTGTTGTATATTTTACAAAATGATGATGTATCAAGATTAAAGGTTGATAGAGTAGGCAAAAAAAAATAACACTAGACCTAGACCATTTAAGGTGGTATTAATATCATGTGATGATGTAAAAAAGTTCTACAAAGCTAAGGAACTTAAAAAAAAACATAGTATATCAAAAAATAGCCTTAGGTTTCGATAAAACAAGAAAATTTAGAAGAGTACAGGCAACTAAGAGCAAAAATGTTCCAAAGGACTCAAAACGGAGAAAACCTTGGTATCAAGTACTTTCACAATATTCCAAAAATAAAAATTGAACTTAAAAAAATGTACACTAACAGATATCAATGTTGTCCAAACTATCGAGCAGAAAGAAGCCACTCATCACCCCCACCAAAGAAACAAAGTTAATCTACACAAAAAAACAAGGGGATGCTTACAAGTTTTGCATCAAAATATAGGAAGCCTGAAAAATAAAGTTTCTGATATCGAAGCTCAATTGGAAACATTGGATTTTAAACCAGATGTATTGTATTTTACTGAATATTGGCTTTTTTCCGAAGACAAGATTAGATTTAATTAGGACTATGTGGCCTCCCCCACCTCGACCTTCTCAGATCTATTGTGGATATCCTTTAATCATTGTTTAGAGTACCTTGTCTAATGCGGTCTTTTGTAGTAGGCTCCATAGACTGGGAAGTAGTTCTCCGGTATAGCTAGTTGCCCTTGGTTTTTCTTCTCCAAGAGTAAGGAATCTCAGTCTTACTAGACCTTCGCAGTAGCACAATACGTGTTCTGCCGTTTCCTCTTCTTCTTGACAGAATCGGCACAAGGCCTCTTCTGTCACACCGATATTGAACATATGTTTGTTAAGCCTACAATGCCCTGTTAATAGACCTACTGGTATTCTAGTATTTTTCCTATTAAGGCTTAGTAGATGCTCGGTGAGTTTAGACGATGGTCCTTTTAAGAACTTTTTGGCCTGTCTCTGTCCTGGTGAGTTTTCCAACCACTCCTGAGATTTTTTAAACATCCACTGCTTTGTGCATGTTCTGATAGTTGTTTTTGTTACACCACAGAAGGGTTCTGGGCCAATAAGAGCATTTGATGCTCCTTCTCGGGCTAGTAAATTAGCCTCTTCATTGCCTTTGTGTCCCCTGTGGCCTGGTACCCAGGCTAAGGTTAGTCTGTTTTGACTACCCAGCTCTGTTAGGGCTTCCAAACAGTCCCACACAAGCTTTGAGCGTACCTGCATGGAACTGAGTGCTTTTAACGTCGCTTGACTGTCTGAGTATATGACAATGGTTTTTCCATTTACCTTCTGTCTTAATACTTCTTTTGCGCAGTGATGTATTGCTGCTATTTCTGCCTGGAATACTGTCGCATGTTTACCTAAGCTCAGTGAGATTCCTGTCTTTGGCTTGGTACTATATATACCTACTCCTGAACTTTCATGGGTTTTGGAGCCGTCTGTATACCAGGTGAGATCTGCATGAATAGGAGGTCCTCCCGTCCACGCTTCCCTGTCTGGTATACTTACTTTATATTGCTTTTGAAAGCTATACTTTGGAAGCATTTCGTCTGAAGGCATTCCCATTATTTGGTCGTTCTCCAACTCTTTATATAGCTCGCTGTAGTCGCGTCCATGCAAACTGCTTATGGGCGATGAACCTTTGTGCAGTCTGTATGTGACAGACCTGGCTTCGTCTTGAATGAATATATGTAGTGGTGTTAGGTTTAGCATGACTTCTATAGCTGCTGTTGGAGTCGTTTTCATAGTTCCCGTGGTACTCGGGCATGCTTGCCTTTGAATACCATTGAGCTGTCGAATGGCTCCAGCTTGCCTAGTCTTTGGCCACCATACCACCGACCCGTAGGTTATCATCGGCCTTATGACTCTGGTATATAACCACAGGGACATTTTTGGTTGTAATCCCCAATTTTTTCCACACAACCTTCGACATAAGTTGAAGGACGTTGTGCTCTTTTGGGTGACTTTTTGCAAGTGTTGATTCCATGTTAACCTGTGGTCAAAGATGACTCCCAAGTATTTGGCCTCTTGAGCGAATGGAATCTTCACTCCTTTCAGTACTGGTGACTTTAGTCCTGTTGGTACTTTTCGTTTTGTAAAGTTGACTATTGTGGTTTTGTGAGGGTTTCCTGTTAGTTCCTCAACACTAACAGATATCAATGTTGTCCAAACTACCGAGCAGAAAGAAGCCACTCATCACCCCCACCAACGAAACAAAGTTAATCTACACAAAAAAACAAGGGGATGCTTACAAGTTTTGCATCAAAATATAGGAAGCCTGAAAAATAAAGTTTCTGATATCGAAGCTCAATTGGAAACATTGGATTTTAAACCAGATGTATTGTATTTGACTGAATATTGGCTTTTTTCCGAAGACAAAGACTTCATAAAGATTTAATACAGAATGACACGTCAATGTTTTTTCTTTTAAAAAAAATTTAAAATAAATACTATTTGAAGATTTACAAAATCGGAATAAAATTAAAGGTTCAGAAGGAATTATACATTTTCGTGTTTGTTTTGCTTTTATTTTCAAAATCGCGGTTTTTGGACAATCTTTTTACCTCTGTACCCTTCATATAAAAATAAAGTCAATCTTCTATAAAACCTTACCAACTCCAATCCGAGGCACTAAGTAAAATTTTTTAATAATCAGCAAAATTTCAAACTATAGTTAGTTGTATATTTAAATAAAAGACAAAATAATACTCAAAATCTGTAATAACATAAATTTAATAACAAAAAATTTAAATATTTGCAACCGTTTTTCACTCAAGGGTCATCAACAGGTGTTAGTAAAGAAACAATTTAAAACAGGGGGTACAAAGTTAAACGCACAACGTCATCAAATAATACAAGGTTGGTACCATTAAAGGTAAAGTTGGCACACTAGAAATCACAAATTATACACGCACAACTAAAAAGATTATTACACTGGATATAAATTAACGAAAAAGGAAAGGTTGTACATCTCCTAGTTAGGTTGAGGAATCAACATATATATGTCATGTCTTATTCCAATCCTGATGTCAGATCTCCAAAGCCACTCCGAGTTAAAATAAAATAAAAAACAGTATACTTCTCCTATACTGTATACTTTGTATTGGCCCGTTTTCGGCTTAATAACTTTAGAAAACGAATAATTAAAAAAAGTGGCATAAACTTATGAATATGCGCCATTTTTGCTGTATACAAAGAAAACAATATCGAAAATGGTACTTACTGGTTTGTGTTCTTTGGTAAAAGCATCTTTGTCAATGTACGAATATCTCTCGATGATACGATTCTTTAATTCGGAATCGTCGATCGTTTTTTTGGCCACCTGAATAGTAAGAGAGTTATTCTGGGTCAAGCATTGGCCGTTTTCTTGGCGATCAATCAAGATTTGAGTGGCACGTTCGATGTCGCCAGCTGCTATGGCAAGGCAGTGTTTCACCTACAATTCAAAGCCTTCCTTAGATTTTTATACACAAACACAAAATCCTCGCATAAACGAGTTTTACTTGCAATTTATATAATTTGTAACGTTATTAAACTTTTGTTTATCTAATTGCTATAATTTATTTATTTATGGACAAGGCTCAATGCGGTTCAAATACAATAAGATACCGGGTGTCTCATTATATTTTCCAACATTTAGCAAGCTTATAACTTTAAAACGAAAGTACTTAAAAACATGCTGTTTTTCTCCGAAATGTATCAAAGTTTTATTTCGGTCAATCCAAAATTATTTAGCACTTCCTGTTTACTGAAAAGCAAAATGGCGGTTTTTTAAAGACGAATTTGTTAATTTTTTTTAACGGAACACCCCGTATATTTTTTAATGCTCCGAAAGCCAGGCCTTTTAGCTATCTAGCGATATAAATTTTTTGAAATCGATGAAGAAATGACTAAACAATTAAATTTTCTGAAAAGCCTGCAAAATCAATCATTAACAATAACTCTCATCAATAATTTTATAGTAGGCTTTGGTACGTTTGTAATAAATGTCAAAATTGTTGTTTTAACTGTTCTAAAAGCTTAGACTAAGGTTTCAAGTGATTCTTTTTACATTAAAATGTTGTTTTCTGAAACAGAAAAGGCAAGTATCATAATTAATTTTGCTGAAACAAAATTTATTATGCGAACAAGATGAGGATTTTTAGAGAATTTAATAAAACAGCACCGACATACAAGACAATAATGAAGTGGTTTAATATTTTCAAAAATAATGGATCATTAGCCCGAAAAAAAAAAACGAAATAACGGCAATGATAATCTTTTACATGATACCATTGATGTATACGAGTTTGTTACTAGATCTCCCTAGTCATCTATCAGAAAAATAGCGTTAGATTTTAATATGAGTAGATCCAAAGTTAATAGAATCTTACAAGCACTGAAACTGAAACCTTATAAAATTCAATTACACCAAAAATATACGAGAGAGACAAAGAAAAACGTCTATATATTATGTGTGAGACGTTATTGGACTTAAAAAGAAACAATCCTGAGCTCCTTTTAATAATGTCTGATGAAGCAAGTTTCCATGTTAATGGAGCCGCCAATAGACACAAGTGTAGAATTTTTAGTGAAGAGAATCCACATGAATTTTATGAAAGTGCAAGAGACTCTCCTAAAGTGAATACAAGATTTACGGCCCATTTTTTTGCCGAAAAAACAGTTACCGGTCCAATTTATACGGACATGTTAGAAATATTTTTTTACCCGCAAACTGACCAGGATGGAGAATTACATTAATTCTATTTTCAACAAGATGGAGCACCTACCCATTATTCACCGATTGCTCGTCAATCAGTTTCTAATAAATTCGGTAATAATTGGATTGGTAGGACAGGACCAGTTAAATGGGCTTCAAATTCGCCAGACCTAACAGTGCCAGATTTTTTTATTTGGGGATAAGTTAAAGCTTTAGCTTATAATCCTGCACCTCAAAATTTAGAAGAGCTAAAAGATAATATACGTTGAGCATTTAAAAGCATTTCTCCCAACATGCTAGAAAAAGCATATACAAATTTATTAATACGTTTACCCAATTGTGATAATGTAAACGGAGGACATATAGAACATTTAAATTATTCTTAAATTGTTTAATAAAAGTTTGTTAAGATGTTAAATAAGTTAATTAGGCTATACTAGAATATCATTAATAAGCAATAATTATTATTGACTATTGATTTTGAATACATTTTCACAAAAATTATTGGTGAGAATTATTGTTAATTATTGATTTTGCAGGCTTTTTCAGAAAATTGAATTGTTCAGTCATTTTTTCATCGATTTCAAAAAACTTTATATCGCTAGATAGCTAAAAGGACTGGCTTTCGGAGCATCACAAAATATACATGGCGTTCCATTTAAAAAACCACCATTTTGTTTTTCAGTAAACCGGAAGTGCTAAATAATTTTGGATTGACCGAAATAAAACTTAATATAATTTGATACATTTCGGTGAAAACTGCATGTTTTTAAGTACTGGTCTAGATAATACAGAATTACTTTTTTTGAGGAACATGGGTGGAATTCCATTGGGGCCGGGGCTCTTCATTAATGTCAAGTGTTGACAGTGATTTGTTAAAGTAATGAAAAAGTGGTCTATATAATACAAAATTAATTTTTTTTTTGAGAAAAATGGGAGGAATTCCATCGGGGCCAGGCTCTTCATTAATTTCAAGTGTTGACAGCTTTTTATAAATCTTAGAAATTTTGATAAAGTAAGAAGATACGCATATAAGATTTGAATTATTTTATTGTATTTTAAAACTCAATAATTGTCTAATTTTTTGTGAACTTCCAAATAACAATATTTGAGGTGAGTATTTATTTCTGGGAATAACAAAAAAGTCACCTCGTACATTTATCTACGTACATCGTGTATTAATTGTTTTAAAATAACTGATAATAGAATGTGAAATATTCCAAACCAATGTCTGGTATTTTTTAGAGGTGTTTTCCAAGATATTATTTCGAAATAGACGCAATTTAAAATTAATTTTAAAATTAATAAAGAAACTAATAATATGATAATTAAAATGTATACAGTATATAAAGTCTATTTATATGTTTTTTGAGGAAAAAAGTCACTCTGGTAGATTATTCTAATGAAAAACTCATTTATGTAACACTCCTTTTGTATATATTACAGAAAATTAAACAAATTATAAAAGTATAGAGAATTATTGAGGCATATAGAAATTGTAATTTCATTTAGCATTAAAATTAAATGTATGGTTACGCATTAGAGGAGATAATTTAATGACAATGGCTATGAAACCATCTGTAATTAGGTCTGAATAATACATTTTTTTTACGATTCCCTTTTTAAGAAAATATGTATACAGGGTGGGCCACTGGTAACGCTTCGGTCTGTGGAGCCAAAACAATTTAAAAAATAATTTCAATTATACAGAGGGTTCTTAAATAAAGTAATACATATCAAAGTTAGATTTTTTAAATGAACACCTGCTATTTTATTTTATATTTGAATTTCCCTCACTTTTCCCATTAAGACAATACCAAATGGTATGAGATTATATATTTCCCACGCTATAACCAGTTTTATATGAAAATCGTATTGATTTGAATGACCTGTATACTGCAAAAGAAATGATTTAAAACCAATTTTTTGTGGTAACAGGTTTTCGATATTAGTCAACATTTTATGCCAATGCACATTTTTCTTTTCAAAACAAAACTGTTCTTTAAAAAACAGACTGTAAAGAGTAATTGTAAAATGGCTGAAACGTAGCTAACACAATGCAACAATACATGCTATTTTTCTGATAACTGTGAAAAACGATGAATTAAGGTCATTAACATGATTTATCTGGTTTATAACTCTATCAAAAACAGTTTGGATGATGTCGGTACTTCACAACAATGATTTCACTTATTAAATTGACTTATTGATACTGATTTATCAACCCATGTATGAATTTATTGAAAAACTAGCTGTTGCCCGCGGCTTCGCAAGCGTAGAGTCGTGTTTTTAGCATAAAAAAATGCATGACTTCCTAAAAAAAGACGCGATAACGTGTTGTTTTACTGTTACGGTATGTTTGTGATAGTAGTATAGATTTTTGTTAATTAGACTATTCTAATATTTAAATATATTAATCTAATTGATGATCTCATTTTATACCACATTTCTGGTACAGCTCTCATCTGCTAATATCACCAGATTGCACGCAGTACTTATTTATTTTTATTAATTTTTATTTATTTTTATTTTTATTTATTTTTATTTATTTATTTATTTTTATTTATTTTTATTTATTTTTATTTATTTTTATTTATTTTTATTTATTTTTATTTATTTTTATTTATTTTTATTTATTTTTATTTATTTTTATTTATTTTTATTTATTTTTATTTATTTTTATTTATTTTTATTTATTTTTATTTATTTTTATTTATTTTTATTTATTTTTATTTATTTTTATTTATTTTTATTTATTTTTATTTATTTTTATTTATTTTTATTTATTTTTATTTATTTTTATTTATTTTTATTTATTTTTATTTATTTTTATTTATTTTTATTTATTTTTATTTATTTTTATTTATTTTTATTTATTTTTATTTATTTTTATTTATTTTTATTTATTTTTATTTATTTTTATTTATTTTTATTTATTTTTATTTATTTTTATTTATTTTTATTTATTTTTATTTATTTTTATTTATTTTTATTTATTTTTATTTATTTTTATTTATTTTTATTTATTTTTATTTATTTTTATTTATTTTTATTTATTTTTATTTATTTTTATTTATTTTTATTTATTTTTATTTATTTTTATTTATTTTTATTTATTTTTATTTATTTTTATTTATTTTTATTTATTTTTATTTATTTTTATTTATTTTTATTTATTTTTATTTATTTTTATTTATTTTTATTTATTTTTATTTATTTTTATTTATTTTTATCCCCCCCCCCCTTAAAATGTGAAAATCCAAAACCATGAAGCAAATCATTATTTATTTTTCAAATTTTCATATTTATAACTTTAAGGGACAAAACAATATATACATACTTTCAAACAAATTTTCACCCCCCATTTCCCCCCTTAAAATGTGAAACTGCAAAAACCCTAAAAGACTTCATTATTTATTTATGATGAGAACCTACAATTCCAATTTTGAAGTTCCTACCTTTTAAAAAAATCAATACTTTCAAATAAACTTTCATCCCTGGTTCCCCCCCCCCCCCCTCCCCCTTAATATGTGAAAATCCAAAAACCCTAAAACATGTCATTAATAATTTGTACTCAGTAGCTGCAAATCCAATTTTCACGTTTCTAACTTTAAAGAGAACTAAAAACATGGATACTCCCAAATGAATTTTCACCCCCATTTTCCCCCCTTAAAATGTGAAAATCCAAAAACCCTGAAACACGTTATTAATAATTTGTAGTCAGTAGCTGCAATTCCAATTTCCAAAAAATCGATAGTCCCATACAAACTTTCTCGCCCCGTTTTCCTCCCTTAAAATGTGAAATCCAAAAACCCTGAAGCACGTCATTATTTATTTATGCTTAGTAGCTGTAATTTAAATTTTCATGTTTCTAACTTTAAAGAACAAAGAGTTTCATTAAAAGCTCCTTCCTCCATTTCCCCCCTTTAACGCTAAAATTTACAAAAATCCTTTCTTAGCGGATGCTTACGTTATAAAATAAACCTATATGTTCAAAATTTCAGCTTTCTAGGCACAGTAGTTTTGGCTGTACGTTGATAGGTCAGTCAATCAGTCAGGACAAACAATTTTATATATATAGATAAGAAACTTTGAACAAAGTTTTCGTCTAGAAAATTTAAATAGATAACATTAAATTGTGTTGAGGATTTATAAAAGTACAAGGTCAAAATAAAAAAAATGTAGTGTTAGTCATTAACTATGCATTTTTTAAATATATAAAAAACGGAGTGTCTATTAAAGGCTAGTTTTATTTCACTAGATTTGTTTTCCATAAAATAACAAAAATCGTTTTCTGTGTTTTGTACACACTTAAATCGCAAGTCGTGCCGTTTATTCACTCTAATTACCTCAATGTTGCAAACTGTCGGAAACATCTCCTGCAGAATATCCATCTCGTCAGGAAACTCACAACAGGAACTGTCCGTAGAACCACCGTCGCTCATTTCTGAGAGCTTGTGTACCCTCTTTGGTACATCAGTCTCAGAGGTCACACTTACAGTCCTGTCAAAGAAATAACATTATATTTGGCTTGATTCTTGTGGTCACTCTATGTCTAGTTAGTGTCGTCATTAACATAATAATAATAATACTCTCCCTAATTCACCCCCTTACGAGTGAATTTCAACTACTGAAGCCGACTGAGCAACTTGTGTAGGGGAAGGGACGGTTATTATTATTATCATCATTTGACTTAGAATTGAGGAAAACCCAGAAAACCCCATCCACCATAATCGAACGGTAATGCATGGCGATTTTTATAATCTGGATGTCATATTGACAGAAATAAAATTTCTGCAAATATGTCATTCATCAAATCATATAGAGAACCATGCAAATAAATTTACATGGTCTTCTGTAAGATTCGAAGCCGGGAGTCTCTTCACCACAAAATTGCTCACAAATGAATTAGAGCGCCTTAGACACCTACGTTACCATCTTTCTTTATAGAATAAATATAGTATGTCAGTTTGTAGATATCTTACCTGGCTTTATTCTTTGGAACAATTTCTGGAAGTGAAATATCAAGAGTCAAACCCTTTTCTTCAGTCTCTTCGGCTTCTTGGAGTTTAGCTTCAAGTTGAAACATCCACTGGCACACAGACGCATGGTTTATAGACTCAAATTCGGGAAAATATGCAGACATCATTTCGCAAAAGCCTGTAACGATTTTTAGTTGTATTTTCACTAGTAATACCACTAGAGGTCAAAAAATTTCCTGATATTAATTTGACCTCGCATGGTATTCGGTAAGAAAATTCCACGCCGAATTATGGTTGAAAATTAAATATTTTTAAAATTTATTTTTCGTTCCTCAACAATGCAAATTATTTTCTCCAAGTCACCAGTGAAACATAAAAGGTGTTGTCGCCTTGATTGTTGAGTTGTCATGGTAACTAAGTGAGACCCTAACCACGAATATAATTTCAGTTTTGAAGTTGTCAAGCGGCCCGACGTAAAAAAATGTTTCGCTGCAATTATTTAGGCCTTCAAATTGCTTATTTCTACTCATTGTAGTTGCATGGGAATACCATTTGAAAATAGAAAATAGTATATTCTTTAATTTTACGTAAGTTTTGAATAACTACAAGTGGTAGAAAATTGTTTTTCTGCGTTTTTATTAACATGCGTTATGAGCGCTTTAAAATGGTATGAAATTCATAACCAGCGTCAGCAAGCATCAATCGTAGGAGGCTGTGATCATTGTATTTTGACAGTTCAAAACATTAAATAACTCGCGTTTTGTTGCGATAAAGAATATTGCACAGCAAGTAAAACCAACAAAATTACCTATTTGTTTAAAAATGAATCGATTTGAAAATCATACGCTAAGCAAAATATGCGTGAAATTGTCTGATGTAATGATCAATCATTGCACCATGACTTACTTACTCGGATTAATAGAGGATTGTGGCTCCAACTTGAAAAACGAAAATTTGTTCCGAATTGTCCACGAATATTTGCACCTAAACTACGCAAAATTCAAAGTGCTGAATGGGAAAAAGGTGAATAAATTAGTGTCTAAATATTATATATATTTTATTAGACATAGACACATAATTCAAAGCATCCAAAGTCCTGCATTTTCGCCATTAAGAAGAAAAGAAGTGGCCGAAGAATATAGAAAACACCTTAGCATTGTAACTAAAATTTATCAAAACTAAACCTATTATGTGAACAAATAAAAACCAGTCTGTCAAAAATGGTTTGTTATTGTAAACGTCAAAAAATTTCCAGTATAATTCGCTGTTGGGTACCCCACGAGAAAAAAATTTCCACTAAAATACCTCCGTTGCCATGGTGATTTGTCAAAAACACGTATTTTGATTGGTTCAAAATTACAGGTGTGGAATTTTCCTATACATATAATGATGGGTATTTGTGCATTTTTAAATAAGTTGTAAGTGATTACATACAGTGCTACTCGAAAGTTCCCTTTTTTAACTTTTAAGTTTTTGCAATAGGTTTAATACCCTGTATGACACAGAGTGGCAGGAACTACATTTATTTAATATAATATTAAAAATTCTAGACACATCGTTTATACGGGGTGACTCATTAAAGCCAAAAAATAATATACGTAACCACATTTATGAGTAACCCTGTATAAAATATGATGTATCGTCAAGAAGCAATTACTTAAAGTACATTTTCATTGTACAATGATAATTGTTCATATTTTTAACTGATATAAAAAAATTATTATTAAAAAAAACATATTTCTTATTTCCAAACCACCCTGTAATTAACCAATTTCTACAGTAACTTTTTATAAACTATTACTGTCATATAATCTATAATTCATGTTTTCTACAACAAATGCGAATAAAACAGGTGTGTTATGAGAAATATGCTTTCAAAAAAGTGGCATTCCGATTTTTAAATGTTTAACACTTTTTGTCAGAGCATCGAGTCCTACAACATATTAACATTTCAGAAAATTTGATGGAAAACCATTTTTCGATAAGAAAGATGTTTGGTTCTTTTTCTAATGTAAAAAATGTCCGAATACAACGTGTAAAAATTCTTGCAACATTTTCTAAGTGCTTCTCATAACAGGAAGTATTAGAGCAGAGTTTTACTGTGAATTTCCTGTGAAGTGTTAACAATATAATTCTAGAAAGATGCAAATAAAGATCTGGTAATATCGTTTTACCAAAAATTTACATTTATGATTGCATAATAGAAATAATATCCTACTCTAAATTACTTTGAGTTTGATTATTTTACTAACATAGTCTCAAGTCCGTATCTTAAGGAGTAAACTTGAGTATTCTACCACAGTATGGTCCACAATATATCAAAATTCATTTTAAACTATTAAAACTGTCCAATGTAAAAGAAATTTTCTCATTTCATATTATGTATTATTATTATTATGTTAATTTTTTATTTTGATACATTAATTTATAACAGAACAGTAATAATTTGTCAAATAGTTAATAATAAAATAGACTTTCCAAAATCATTTATATAATTTAACTTAAAACCAGTTTTATATCAACGTTTGCTGCAAATACTGCGATATTAATCATGATACATTGTGTGTAATCTTAAAACAGTTAACAACTAAATTCAAATGTTTATAGAAGCTAAAAAAATATGTCATAAAAATGAAGGTATTATGTGTATTATTATTATTATTAACAGAAAATTTGAAATAGAAGGAGCAGCTTCGGTCATTGACAATAAAGATTCATTCATCACAGAATGGGGTCAGTTATATTAAGCAATACTTTAATATAAATGAAAATATTATTGCTAAACTAATATACAAAAGGCCACATCTAAAATCCTACTACTTGTATATAAATGGTCAAGTGCTTAGAATATAAGAATTTTTTATACTACCACCCTGCTACTTTTATTTATAAAGAACCACACTAAATACATTTATATAAACTCAGAAGGGAATCCAACATCTCAAATGTGGTCCTCTTCGATGAGACGTTTTTATTAAATACTAAATGTGGGAAAGATTTTGATATTTATTTGTCTCACATTTATATAAAACTAGAGGGATACTTGATAAAAAATTGAAAATATTTTCAATGTTTTTCTTAGGTAGGTATTACTGTTTAATGTCAGAGATATTCAGATAGTGTATACAGAGACATACTTAAATAATTTACAACTGTCAAAAAACAAAATGTCTGTTCATTTTTTCTCAAGCATATTGCATAAGCCCTCTCCCATGGAACTCTACCAGGAAAGTTCCATGGTGAGACAAAAATTTAATAAGGCTAAAATAACCGGCGAATGGGAACTATATAGAACCATACGCACCTGTTACAACATAGCTTTACGAAAAGTCAAGAGAGAGTCTTGGAGAAGGCACTGTGAGGAGATAGCAAGCACTCAATAATGTGCCAGGCTCCAAAAAATTCTCTCAAAAGACACACAATAAACACCCTTAAGAATGAACTTGGGGAGTACACAATCACAGGGAAGGAAACAGTAAGGGAACTCTTCAGGGTTCACTTCCCTGGTGCACAAACCATAGCACACACACCAGCTAACCGGAATCTAAACGGACTGGAAGCTCATAATAGAGCCAACAGGGAAGATTGGAGGATAGCCAAACAAGTGGTGAACTATGATAAACTGAAATGGGCAATTAGCTCATTCGAACCATATAAATCACCGGGCATGGACGGGATTTATCCAATGTTACAAAGAGGTCCTGATATTTTATACAGCAGACTCTGTAACATACTCAGAAGTAGCCTGGCCTTTGGACACATACCAAAAGCTTGGAGAAATATTAGGGTAACTTTTATACCAAAACCTGGGAAAATGGGACAGGAAACGGCAAAGTCCCTAAGACCAATAAGTCTTATGTCCTTCGTACTTAAGACTTTGGAAAAACTGCTAGATAGGCATATTAGAGACGGGATATTGGTTCAAAGGCCAATATACCAAGACCAATACTCCTATAGTGCAGGGAAATCAACTGAAACAGCTCTCCATCAACTAATAAAAAGGGTGGAGAACACACTGGAAAACAAGGAGGTAATGCTGGGAGCATTCTTGGATATCGAGGGTGCATTCGACAATACCTCCGTTGAATCGATCATTAGATCTCTCAAACACAGAGGAATCGAGGACACATGCGGGTCCTGGATCGACTCTATGTTAAGGAAGAGAACTATACACACAACCCTTATGGGAGAGACAACAGCGGCATGGGTAGCGAGAGGATGTCCACAGGGTGGAGTGCTGTCTCCACTCCTGTGGAACCTTGTAGTGGACGGGCTGCTTAGGGCTCTCAAAGATAAGGGACATAGAACCCTGGGATATGCCGATGATCTAGTGATCATGGCACAGGGAAAATACAACACTATAGTAAGTGATCGAAAGCAAGAGGCTCTAAATATAGTAACAAAATGGACAGAGGCGGAAGGACTAAACATTAGCCCAAACAAATCTGACATAATTGCATTCACCCGCAGGAAGAAATTGGAGGGACTAGGGCCTCTAAACCTAAGAGGTGCAAGCATCCAGCTTAAGGGGGAGGTAAAATATCTCGGGGTTATGATTGACTCGAGACTTACCTGGAACCAGCATCTAGAAAGAACCACAAGGAGAGCGGAAACCTCATTAATGATGGCAAGGCGATCCTTTGGAAAAAAATGGGGGTTAAAACCAGACATGGTATATTGGATTTATAACATGGTGGTGAGACCCATAATAACATACGCAGCTTTGGTGTGGTGGCCAAAGACACAGCAAAGGAAAGCAATAACGAGGCTTAGCAAGGTACAAAGACTTGCCTGCCTCGGAATAACGGGGGCAATGAAAACAACCCCCACTGCTGCAATGGAAGCACTAATAGGACTCCCACCTCTTCACTATGTGATACAAGGGGAGGCAAGATTAGGTGCGTACAGATTAGGGAATACACTGGGAAATCTTGACATTAGGCCAGGTCACATGAGTATCTCAAGGTTAGTGACAGGAGACGTGCTAGACATGAGATCAGACCACTTAACCAAGAGGTACTCTTTTAATACTCCCTTTGAGGTTTTAATACAGGAAAGAGCGGAGATCACCATAAGGGAGCCCAATCCCCAACGACAGGAACAAACCTGGTATACAGACGGGTCTAAGACTGCGGAAGGCACTGGGGCAGGAGTATTCTCCAAAAACCCTGATACTAA